AAACAGAGCACTGCAGATTATTTTGAGCCATCTGTTTTCCTACAGAGAAGTAGATAGCACAAGGGCTCAGAATAGTTCTAGACTTGAAAATAGGACCCCTGGAGCTTATTAGTACCTGAAGGTCTATGCAGAGTAAATGCATCACAGCACATCTTCCTTTGGGAGATCTGCAATGGGCTAAACCTGGCATTAAAGTCTCAGGACTTAGGGCCTCTCCCTGGGGGTCGGGCTTCACAAAGCTGTGATGGCCTAAGCACCCTATGCCTTATTGGCCTCAACAGAAACTAAGTTGTTTTTCCCCCCCTCCCCCATATGGTTCTGCCTCCAAAAGTAAAAGCAGGGGCATGCTGAAGTGCTGCATGATTTCATATATATGGTATGAAACATGGCAATTGGGTTGAATGATGCAGGCAAACATCCCTGTGTTACCACAAGAGGACTTTGTCACCTTAGGTAGCGCATTGTGCCCCACCTTTTTTATAAACATAAAAATGCAGTTTGTTCAAAACAAGCACTGTGGGAAGGAAGCTTATATGTCACTGGAGATGAGGTATTCCCATGAGGCTGGACTCCTCTCTTACAACAAAACTGTAGCTCTGCAGGGCTCTCAGCTGCTGCCTTCAATCCAGTTTACATGCACAGTTCACTTCCGCTAATGACAAACCAATTATGCAAAATGCTAACTTATAGCTGGTATTTATATAGTATCCTCCAACATTAATTAAACCATAATATGGCTGTAAAGTAGGTAAGTGGACCGTTTCACAGAAGGCAGGCAGAGAAAGCAAGTGATTAGCTCAAGAGCACAGAAATAGCATTTAGGTCACAGGTGAGAATTTGAGTCCACTTCCTGTGCAGGTTTAAAGTGCATTTCCCATTCTCATCCCCTATACTGCTTTATGATTTAACGACACTGTAGAGTCATCAGCATTGTAAGACATAGGTTTACTAGCAGTTTGACTGAAATCATTCACTTTAAGTAACGTGGTAGGGCTTGGTCTGGCAAGCCGCGTTCTCAACCCCCACTGCAGTCGTATGCCACGCAATCCAGGGCTGTGTCCAGATGAGTGCAGAAGTGTAGGTCAAAAAAACCCATGCCCAAAAAAGCAGGGTGGTGCAAGTGGCGGCAGCATACGGCACCCAAAACCGGAGACTGACCAGCCGGAGCCACACACCAGCTGCCAGCCAGGTTTCCTGCCGTGACTGCAGCCCTGGCAGGCCCCAAAGGCTGCTGGGGCCTGCACAGTTGCTGGCCCCAGCCTTCCCTACCCCACTCGGGGTAACCTGTGGCACACCAGACCATGTCCCTGGGGGACAAGTAGCAGTGACACAAGGAGAAAAAAGTGCCCAAAAGCTTGCAAAGAACTTTTTTCCAACTACTCAGTTGGTCTAATAAAAGATATCACCTCTGTTCAAAGAACTGTGCCTGCCTATGTGCTTAGACCAACACAGCTACCACTAACAACCCTTTTGAAAACCAGCATTTTTTCAATTAGCTGGATCACAGCTCTGCTAGAAATAGTAAACTCCAGCTGTTCTGGTGGGAAGCCAGTTGCTCAGGATGTCATCAATCAACTGCATAGGCAAAACTGTCCTTGCTGCAGAAACAGAGCAAATACCAAGAAGATAAGCAGAGCTATAGTGGGCAAGACAAATGGTCTGCCTCGCCTGCTTCCAACAGTGGCAGTAGGGTATGCTTCAGAGGAAGAGTTTGTGTACAAGGCAGGTCTAGTGTAATCTGTTCTCTAACATACCCCTCTCAGCATCAACCAAGAGTATTAGACAAATTCATAGAGGACAGGTCCACCAATAGCCATTAAACAACAGTGAACTGTGGGCAGCTGTTTTACAGCCATCGTTATTGCTTTTCAACCCCTGCCCCATTTTACTGTCTTTTTAGTATGTCAAACATGCACCAGAACATTGGTTAACTTTTTTTTTCTTACAGCACCTGCACAGCCCCGAGGTGTTTGTAAAACCACAAGGAAGCCAAGAGCTTCTTCCCCCTTCTCTCCTGAACTAGGGCAAAAGTTGCAAGGTTGCATTAGCTCCCTAATATGGAGGTATGGAGAGCAATTATTAGCTTACAAGGTTCTTGGGGTAAATTGGGTCTTTTATTAGCACAATTACTAGCTTACTAGGCCATTATTAGCTTACCGTGTTTCCCTCTTCTCTTTGTAAGAGGAGCGCCCTCTAGTGTTAGAGGCACCGAGAGATGCCAAATAAACAGATACTTTGGAACTTCACCCTTTTATTTGAATCTTTTTTTTTTTACCTTAAGCATGAACTTGTGCAGAGAACAGAAGTAGTTTCAAATATTTTCTTAATTTCTTGCCATCCCCCTATCAAGTCTATGTACACAGCATTACTTAAGTCATGCAGATTTACAAAAAGGAACGCGCTGTTCTTGGTGAATGCCAATTCAGTGAAGGCTTCAGACGTGGTGTAGATTGGCCTCTGTCTGGTCTTTACTTATTTATAAGTAGCAAATAACTGAATAAAAGCCTTACAGCATGAAGACAAGCTCTGGTTATGGTTGTGTCTTTGGGAGCTGAGAAAAGAACTCAGTTGGTCTAATGAAAAATACCTACTCAAAGAACCTGGCCTGTCTACTTAATTTAGGTAGTAGTGAGGGCTTTGCCTCTACAGACCAGGCAAGGCTTATCTGAGAAACATTCATGTCTTCAAGGACAGTGAGTTACAAGAGGAGGATCTTAAGGTAAAAGTGGAGGCCTGTAACAGGAAGACTGAAAAACTAGCTGCTCCATTTCATAAAATAAACCATCACTGGTCAAAGCCAAGCTTTGTAGGAAAAGTGCTTCTTGCTGCAACAGAAGCATTTTCCAATGTGCAAAAACAACACTTTTCTCTAAGACAAGTTTCAGAAGTTGAAATGCACTTTTAAACCATTGCCTGTGAGCAGGTTAGGTTACTATTTTATATTGCACCATGCCATTCAGGTACATGCTACTTTAACTCATGTTCCAAAAGTAATCTTCAATCTATACACTCAAGTGACTTGTCAACCAATTCCATAGGAAACATTCACTGCATTACACACGCACGCTATCTACAGAACTGGTGAAGTGTGATGAACCAGGGATCTGGAGAGATTCACTCTGCACTATTTCTCCATCAGCATAAGTATACCCAAGCCCCAGGCCACAAATGAACATTACACTGAAAAAGTGTGCATGCAGTCACATTTATTGGTGCAGTCACGATTTTTGCAATTCAGGGGCACATGTTTAACGAAATATATTCTCCAAAATAACTAGTGCTAATGATACACAACAACAGGATGTCATACCACTGGAATAAGTTGATAAATACTAAGGTTTTAGAAACTGTTTGCTAACATCAGTCATTTCACTGTAACAGAAACAAATAATGCTTACATCAGTGTAGGTCCCTGCTAAACATGTAAACTTTGACAAGCTTTTAAAGTGCCATTAAAATCACGAGATGTGCATCTCTTCATACAATATAAAATGTTTGTGAAAGGCCACATGATTAGAGTATGTTAAGCTCCTTTTTCTAGGAAAAAGAATTTAGTGCTGGTGAAAGGGGCCAGACTGGCAGCCTTGGAAACTGAAGTCCTATAGTGAATCAAAGAAGTGATACTTATACGCCTCAACCTTTAACTACGGAGTTCACTGCTGGGAGGAGCAAGTTCAGTCTCCACGGTCCATTCTATCCCTGGCCCCTCTGCTGAAATATTCAGCAAAGGAAGTAATGCTAATTGCATTTTTTTTTCTTCGTTTGGGGG